TATGTATGTAAAAGCATATCTGCAGACAAGGGAACTCCTTAATGCAAGTAAACCTGCAGAAGCATTATGAGTAAAACTGGAAGCTGGATATTCCAGTGGTTTAATTGTGGGTATTTGTTATAAGGCACCTAATATAGATGCAGAGGGAGCAGAACTTAATGTAATGATTTCAGGGGCAAGAGTAATAATAATGATGTGGTTGTTATGGGTGACTTTAATTTACCAGGTATACAGTGGGACACCGTTATAGGCTCCACACCAAATGAACTTCGTATAGTAGAAAGGGTACAAGACTGCTTTTTCACCCAGTTTGTGAAATCTCCCACCAGAGGAGAAGCCAGTCTCGATCTTGTGTTTTCAAATAATCAAGACAGGACTGGTAAACTTGACAGTCTTGATCTACTTGGCAGTAGTGATCATAACATGGTTAAATCTGAGGTAAATTTTCACGTATGTAAAGTAAAGTCAGGAATGAAAATATACACTGTTAGGTAGGCAAACTGTAATGGGATGAGACAGAAACCAGAGATGGTAAACTGGATGGAGGTAGATACCAGAACTACAGAAGAGGTGTGGGAATTTTTTAAAAGAATATTATTGGAAGCTCAAGGGGCGTTCATCAAATATAAACAACACACCCGATATTACTTTGGATTCGTCTCCACCTTTGGCCAATAGATGTATAACTGAAGCTGATGTGTTACAAGGTCTAGCTAAACTCAAAATTACGTGCAGTTTTAAAGGAGATGAGGGGTATTATCTGTGGACCTTTAACTTTCTATTTCAAAAATCTCTGTCCAGGTGTGGTATCCTCAGACTGGAAGTAAGCAAATATAATGCCCCTTTTCAAAAAGGGAGATTGACGCAATCCCTCGAACTTCAGACCAACTAGTATAACTAGAAAATGTATAGAGGCAATAACCCAGGGACAGATTATTGAATATTGAAGACACTAGTAACATTCCGAGGGACAGCCAACATGGCTTTAGGGGGGGTAGATCCTGTCTGACTAATATACTTGAGTTTTTTCAGGTGGCCACAAGGGAAATTGATTTAAATACAATTTCATTTATTTAGCTTTCCAGAAGGCCTTCAATGTAGTCCCACACAAACAACTCCTGCTTAAGCTCAGAGCAGCGGGTATATTAGGAACTATAGCAGATTGGATCAAAAACTGGTTAACTGACAGTAGCTATTAGAGGCACAATGTCACAATGGACCTGTGTCAATAGAGGAGTACCACAGGGTTCAATTTTTGGACCATTATTATCTAATTTACATAAATGATATTGATACTAACATATATGGAAAACTGGTTACATTTGCTGATGACTCCTAGTTAGGAGGTGCATCAGATTCTGAGTTAGCAACCAAAATGTCAGAGTAGGACCTTGGTCTAACTAAAGACTGGGCTGATAAATGGTAGATGAAATTTAATGTAGATAAATGTAAGATAATCGATGCAGGAAGCAGAAACATTCAGTACAGACATTTTATGGGTTCAATTGAAATTAAGGAAGCTGATTACGGGAAAGATCTGGGTGTGAATGTTGACACTTCTGTGTCTCACTCTCACCAGAGCGGAGAAGCAGTTAAAAAGGCAAACAGGATGCTGGGCTCCATCTCCAGCTGTGTTGAGTTTAAATCAAGGGTGCTAATACTAAGATGTCAGACTTCACCTTGAATACTGTGTCCAGGTTTGGTCACCTAATCACAAAAAGGACATTGCTGCTTTAGAAACGTCCCAACACAGGGCTACAAGAATGATTCCTGGCCTTAGGGGGATGTCTTATCAACAGAGATTGGTAGAGCTGAATTTGTTTAGCTTTTGAGCAAAGGAGACTAAGGGATTCAGGTTTATAAGATTTAACAGGTTTAGATGCTGTTCATCCAAATTGTTACTTCAGAGTAAGTTCTAATTCAAGAACCCATGGCCACAGCGGGAAATTAGCAGGGGAACACTTTAGTTTGGATCTGAGAAAGGACTACTTTTCACAGCATGTAATTATAGATGGAATAGTATGTATAATGGAGTATGGAATAGTCTGCCTGAAGGGATGGTGCAAGCTGAAGCCCTAGATATGTTCAAATCTAAACTTGACAATATCCTGCCAACTTTAAATTATTAGTTTAATTCCCTCCAAATAAGCTTGATGGGCACCCTCTTGTTTGTAACTTTATTATGTTCTAATGTTCTTCACAAGAGCTGCAACATTATCAAGGGCATTGTCATTATGGGCCAGCAGGAAAGAGACCTTCTGGATAACAGCAATGAGGAGATGATAGTCTTTTCAGAACTGCCAGTTGGAGTTCTTGCGCACGGACTGCTCACAGCTGGTGATCCAGAAGTGCTGCACTGCGCCGCTTCACCCACAGAGTGACAGAATGCTTCCACCAGACCCAGGCGACACAGGTCACCATCAGCCAACACCAGTGCAGCTGGGAATGTCAGCATTATCGTGTGATTTCAGTGTCATCATGGTGATTAACATAATCACAACACTGACAGAATGACAGAAACGGAAAGAACACACTACGAAGAATCACCAAAAGATAAAGGACCTGTGAAGAAAAACTAAACAATGCAACTCATTATGCACACCACCACAATATTAACAATAGTAGTAAGTTTTGGTTATCATAGTATAGCTAAATTGTTATAATACAACTTTAATAGATTATAACTAATATAACATTTACCAAACTGCACTTATAGTGTGTAATAGAAAATCAGTCGGATAATGTATGCTTTATCTTTAATATTTTTTATTAAGCTCATATTTTAAAATCAAGAATCACTCGTGGTTACAAACAACACAAAGACTAGCACATCACGAACACATTATTAGGTGATTGCAATACTTCACAGGGTCACTAGATGGCACCATGGATCGAGTCTGTACACTCAGCGACTTGGTGAATTTATTGCAGTCCTGCGGGCGTCTGAAATCGCATACTTGTTTATAACGTAGTAGGCGAAATATAGTATGCGAGGTGTAGTATGTCTGAATTCTCCGTATGGATTAGACAGTAGGCGAACGGTACCCGGATGACATTTTCCGAAATGTGAAAGTGATGGACGCTACACTCTCCCATAACGACACACAAGCTGCAGCCTGCAACCAGTGAAGAAACGTTATTTGCTCAGACATTTGTGTCAATATGGCGGAGGAAGTGCAGTCTCTTTGCAGATGTAAGTAGAGAACAATACCAAGTCACACAAGTTGGCCTTAATATGCATTTTTTTCGGTGATAGTTTTAACAGTACATAAGTCAGCTGTTGATATTTCGGTAAGAATCGGTAGATTGCGATTTCACTACGACAGTCACCGACCGGCTAGTAAAGATTAGCTGTCCGCCAATTTGAGTTGAGGTTATCAGTTTAGCTGAATTTACCTTAGGCTGTTACAACCGTTTATGGTAGACAGAGTAAGCCAAAACAGCATTTATAACCCTAAATGTTCATATATTCAGCAGCTAACGCAGCTGCTGTTATGACGTGAAATTGACCTCAAACTAACGAAGAATGATTTGGAAAAAGCATTCAGTCTATAACCAACATGGCAAACGTTCTATGTACGGATGCGCAGCTGAATACTGAAATATCGATTCTTTCTATTTAAATGTTTTCATTTTGAGAATCGATTCTAACGTTAAAATATATTTAAAATGTATATTTTATATATTATACAGAGCAGGATATGAACCTGCCAAAGCCGTCCATAAGGGGGGAGAATGATCTTAGGGCCCAGATCAAGGAAAATGGAACTATCGATCAACTGGCACATCCCCTGCCCACATCTAGGCAATAATATTTAGCATCACCACCCCCAATGTCTGGCACTATGTGGCACTGGAAATTGGCATCTGTGAGACCAGCCTTGGATTGAATGAAAATCAGTTATCAGTGAATATCAGTGTTATCGCCCATCCCTAACTAGACTGTACAACTGAAATTCACCTCAATGTTACAGGGTCAGACAACGACACCCTGAACCTGATCCGGTGGAGAGTGGCTAATGAAGCCCTTTTTACTGGAAAGCGTAATTCATCCATCAAAGGCTTTGAGTAAGTGGATTTATTTCTGCCGGTGCTGTTAATTCGATCTGAAATTAGTCGTTGACAGAATATGAAATTCCACAGGCAACTTGCAATCCTAAAGCTTGTGTCAGGCATTTAAAGACATACATCTAGACATATCTTTGACATGCCGGTTAGCATGGCAGGCTAACAGTTTATTGTCGATTCTTTGTGTCAGAGCTTTTGTGAGAGAGTACAATTTGGAGGGCAAAGTGGCCGCTGCCCGTGTGAAGAGGAAGTGGGAGAATCTTAAACAAAAGTACAAGGTAAGTAGGTGAAAGGTAAAATATTTCATATGTAAGAGATTTCCAGAAATAAGCTTTACAGTATGAAAATAAATCTCCTGTGTTTGTGACATTTTTTAGGATCTTAGGAACCCGTTCACTGGGGTCAGCACAGAGGGTGGTGAAGTAACAGCAGTGTCCTGGAAGTGGTATACTGAAATGGATGAGGCGCTCGGGGGAAGGCCCTTAGTCATGCCACCCACCCTGATCGCCTCTGATGCTTTACCATCACCAGTGCTGCAGCACAAAAGAAGAAGGACATCAGATTTTGTGCTGCTCATTAAAGAAATAGAGGAGAGGGAGGAACACGGAGAACGAGATGCAGAGGCAAGAGAGGAAAAGCGTCTGCAGGAGGCTGAGGATAAGGAGGAGAGGCTGGAGCAAGAGAGGCTGGAGAGAGAAGAGAGAAGAGAAGATGAGGCTAGAGAGAGAGAGGAGAAGAGGGACAGGGAGGCTAGAGAGAGGGAAGAGAGGAGAGATAAGGAGGCTAGAGAGAGAGAGGAGAGGAGAGACAGGGAGGCGAGAGAGAGGGAGGAGAGGAGAGACAGGGAGGCTAGAGAGAGAGAGGAGAGGAGAGACAGAGAGGCTAGAGAGAGGGAGGAGAGGAGAGACAGGGAGGCTAAAGAGAGAGAGGAACGCTTCCTCCGTCTTATGGAGATCATTGCAAAAAAAAGTGTAAAAAAGGAAATAAATGTTTAAATGTGTGAAAGTCCCGGTGTAGTTATTGTACTTGTAGGTAAAAGATGGGGGGGGGGGGGGGGAATTGGAAATATGTGATTATAGAGATTTATTTAAATGCCCCGTGATTATATTTTTCTTAACTGAAACAAACAAAACATCCTGTGGACTGAGGACATACACATACACAAAATGAGGCCTAACAGTATCTTTAAAAGTGTGTTCAAAATCACATGCTTGTTTGCTATGAGGTAGGCAAGATATCACATACGAAGTGAGCAGTATGTCCAAATCCTCAGTATGGATGAAATAACAGGCGAACGGTACCCAGATTACATAGTACATTCTGTGAAATTTGGAAGTGTGCACTGTGCCACAAGGCCACTGGAGCTGAAACTGGAGTCTTGCCAATTCTATACAAATTTAAGTAGGAAACAATACCCAATTACATAAGTTGAGTCAGATTTGTATATGTTTTTTGTTTTTCTCTAGGAAAACAAGGCTGTTCCATGGAACTTTAGCATCATGCACAGACCCTAGCTATCATGCAAAAATATCCAAAAACTGAAGGTAAATACAGTGGAACAGTTTGCTATTAAAATAACAAGGGACATTTGTGGCTTTTTTTTTTTGAATTTGTGAAACTACCACTATATCCCTAATATTGCCCAGCTAATCCTGTGCACAATATCGTTCAAAGTGAATTTTGGGACATTAAAGACCATGACATCACCTGGTATGATGCTTTGTGTGCCAGCCAGAAAAAAAAATGTAAGGACCTCTATGTCCCTGGCACATCCATGGTCAGACGTATGACTTAGAGTGATGGTCTGTCTGAACATGGAGGGTCGCGGGATGGAAATCTCCAGATTAAGGTGGCAGTACAGGCTGAGAGAGACTGCTAAATTATAAGAATTTTACAGAAGTTGTTTTACGTTCTCATGTTTATTATATGTACTTATTGTATGCTTTTAAACATTTTCATTTTATATATTATATATATTAAATGTCGATGTATAGCTGTGATGCCTTCACTGAAGTTAAGCCACTTATACCAGCAAGACCCACTAGTAACAGGGAATAGTTAGTTATTTCAAGTAGCAGGCTTCTAAAGAAAGTATTTGCATACTGTGCAAGTATGTGATTTTGGTTGCACCCCTTGTATCCTCTGGCTTCCAGGAAAGTGGTGTGATTTCTCCTCCTTTATCATATGATTTTTGAAAGTCTTCTGTACCTTCTGAAAAAAGGATCAAATTTTGTATGTCTGAACCACGTTCATGCTTGATGACATGCTACATTCATGGAACGCATTGACTGGTTCCCATAGTCTATTATTTGGTACAGTACAATCATAGGCCCTATAAATCAAATTTAAGAAATACAAAATGTCTACTACATGGTAAGATTACTAAAATCAAACAAAAGTAATATAGCACCAAATTACAAGTTTTGTTAACAGCATGTTCGATAAATCACTTACAAATCAGTTCCTTCACTATAAGCAATTCAATTACCTATTTATAATACAATGTGCTGTCAATTCACATTATTCACAATGTTTTTGTAGACTGGAAAACTGAACCTTTTCATGACTCGTCTTAATTACGATTGCATGTGGTTGGTATTGTGAAAGCAATAGAGAATCTGAAGAAAAATCAGGGACTTCCCGGCGTTTGCCGAGAAAAGTCCCCTCTGATGGGTTATATTACCTAAACAACCATAATGAAGGACCAATAGCAACATTTCAATAGTTTGGCATGAGGAAATATCATATTGACAATGGACTATTAGTTTCTTTTCTGATTACAGACATTAAACTCTCTTTTCTATGAAATGATTAGTATATGTTAGTCCTGAAGGAACAGAATTAATGATGTTTACTAACAAAAAAAAAGAACTCAAAAAATGCCAAATGTACATTTCATTAAAAGCACACAGATTAAGCCTTTTATGCCATGTATTCTTTATTATGATTTCCACACGATTTGGACATGCACATTGGGGCATTTGTGAACCATCTGCAGGACTGTACAGTCTTTGTTTACTGGCTGGAAATCTGGTTGGGGATGTGTGAGCCAAAACAAAAAGCCATATCGAAGTACAGAAATTAGCTGTTTTTGATTTTTTTCCCCATTATAATTCCAAGGAATCATTTTCCTCCCAATTTTATAAGAAAATAAATAGTAATAAAGAACATTTTAAATGCATACAGCAACAACAAATACAATTTACAAAACATATTTACAATGTGCATATTTGGAGCAAGAAAAATGTTAAGGTTGGGTCTGTGGGAAGGACTGATTGATTATATTTGTGATTATGCCTGGCCAGGGAACAGGAAGTGCCAGTGACTGGCCTGAAAGGGCTGACAAAGGGAGAAATGGAAAGAAGGTATCTTTGGTAAAGTGATACTTTAAGGGCCAGGCACTGCTTTTCCTTTATTAAGAACTTTCTTGACTGTATTTTGTTCCTGGTGGTCACCTAAATTCCACAATGTGCTGTAACACTCCACATTAATATTCTATTGCATCTACATGTATTATTGAATAATTTGAGAAAACGGTTAAGGTGTGCATACAGTGTGTAATTGTATATGGTTCTAAGCCTCCCACTGTGTCCAGCTGTTACTCTGCATTGCGCTGGAATGCAGTGTTCTGCTGCTGTACCAGTTGGGCGTAAGCCCCGCCATTCCTAAGCAACTCTTCATGGGAGCCTTCCTCTATCACTTCACCACTGCGCAGGAAGATGATGTGATTGGCCATCTCCAGAGTGCTCAACTTGTGGGCGATCAGCAACACAGCACACTGCTTCGAAATCTTCAACACAGCCTCGTTCACCTGGAACGTTGCACAGAGACCATTAACATCACACTAAATACCGTCAGATACACAAAAAGTGATTACCAAATTGTCAAAAAGGCCAAAAAAAATATACTGATGCAGAGAGAGGAAATTTGGATGATTGTGTGAGAGCACATTCCGTATTTAGAAAAACAAAGATATGAATGTCACTTTGAGGAATGGCATAGATCGAAATAATGAAACAAATTTCCCAGTAAATAAAGAAACAATCAATTGCTCTATCACTATCATTTTTGGGCCACATTTATCATTGAGGTCTATTGGCAAATTTGTTATTCTTTGAGGTGTGAAAGTGGATTGTGCAGAGAGGCATAATCATTATAAGTCACTGATATAAATGTGCCAACTTCAAAAGCTCAAATATTCAATGCGGAATGTGAAGCGCTCGGAATGTGAAGCTCTCAGGTTAACAGCAGCAGAATTATCATATGGAACACATGAATACCCGGTGCTCGTTCTCCGTGTCCAGAGAGCTGGTGGCATCATCCAGCACCAGGATCCGGGGGTGTCGAATCAGGGCTCTGGCGATGGCGATGCGCTGCTTCTGTCCCCCTGAGACTTGACCCCCTTTCTCCCCGGCGTCTGTTACACACAGGAGGTTGGGTTAGGGTTAGGGTTAGTTATATGAAAGGCATGGCAGTGTGGAGTGGGACAACCTAAAGTGCCGGCAGAATCTTAAAGTGCATTACAAACCTGACAGGCATAATCAAACACATCAAAAAAGAAAACTATAAAACATGGAGTCGGGCACAGACACTTATACACAATGAATCAAACAAAGGACAGTGTATCAGAAGCAGTTACTTAAAAAAAAACAGTCCTTTGTATGTAAACAGACAACCATTGAATGTAAATGCAGAATAAAATGTAATATCAAATCATAGTTGGGGATTATTATGACAAATGTCAGCATGCCACAGAGGGTTTTCTAAAAAACACATGCACAGACTCACCTGTGTCATACCCTTTTGGCAGTTTAGAGATGAACTCGTGAGCTTCAGCGAGCCTGGCCGCCTCGATCATTTCAACCTCGGTGGCGTCCTCACGGCCATATTTGATGTTTTCTCTCACAGAACGGGCAAAGAGGACTGGTTCTTGGCTCACCACGGCAATCTAGTATGACCATATTTTTTAAAAATTTGAGTTTGCCAGTAGTTTGAACAAGAATGTCTCTGATCATCCAAACAAACAGTAACATCTGGCAATACATCTGTCCTAACTCAAAGTACTAGATTAGCATATGCCAGTAAAGTCATTTCAGATATAATCTGAAACAAAGTCATCCGTCAACTTATGTCCTATTGAGTAACGTCCGATCATACATCCTACAGAAGCCTTAAAAAATATTTGAGAGATGTCCGAAACAGACGAAGTGGATGTCATGTGATGTATTTTACCAAATGTGCGGCATGCGGCAGAACCAAAACAAACTGCCTGCCCTCCCACTATAGAGGTTTAGATCAATGTGTGTGATTTTGTATCTTATGTTGTACAGTATATTTGACCTCTCCTCTATAATGATCGAGATACATCCAGATCGACCAGCTTCCTCACTTCTGGGATGAACTCCATGGATACTTGTATATGCATCTTTATAACCACATTAATGCATCAGCTGAAGACTTGCTAATTTTTTAACAGTTTAAAACTACATTGTGCATAGTTGTAATTATTAAAGGGTAACCAAATACTTTTAATAATAAAAGTGTCCATTATTGAAAAATAATCCAACTTATTTGTTTATACACCACTAACAAGCAACCAAAAGACAGTTAGCTACGAGATATATTCTTTGTGTAGTTCGGTCGCTAATTTTCATATAACTGATTTTTATTTTAAATGCATTTATAAATTATACCATTTCTTCAGCTATATCCCCAATACCATTATTCGAACTTTATGATGCTTTCAGTAATTATTTGTATCAAACTAAATTAAGAGCTCAGATGGACAGAAAACCATCTGCTTCGTGGTCCGTAATCGGAAAATTCTGTACACAAGCACACAGTATATGCCAATCATGTGAACACATACAGTCGATTTTCCTAGCTCTTCCTGGCTTGTCTATATGCAGGCCAGCCGTGCATCATAAGAACTGCAATGCAAGTCACTAGGACTTTAAACACAAGCCCCACTGCTTCCTCAGAAGGCAAAAGAATTTTTCCAAATCAAACAAACATCAGTAGTTGCTGACATACATGCTATTATATTAATTGAGGCTACTGTACAAACGAAATAATGCAGCGTGGTGCACATTTTGGTGATCACACTGACAACCCGTTACCTTGCCATGCAGATACTGGTTCTGATAGCTGTGCAACGGCTGCCCATCCAGCAGGATCTCCCCCTTCTGTGGCTGGTAGAATCTTTCCAGCAGATTCACGCAGGTGCTCTTCCCCGCACCCGAAGGCCCAACCAAAGCAGTTATCTCACCAGGTTTCAGCTTCAGAGAGAAGCCCTGAGACAGAGAGATTATAACAGTCGGTATCAGGGGATCTCTGAGAATTTTACAAATAAATCTATTCACTGAATTTTACTTTCCCACTTTAACAATAACTGCATTCAAATACCTTGAGCACAGCAGTGTCAGGCCTTCTTGGGTAGGCAAAGGTGACATTTCTGATCTCCAGATTTCCCTGTAGGGTCTTGGGGGCCAAAGAACCCTCTGGGGGAGCCTGG